ATCATAAGCAACATATGGGGATGGTACAGATAATTATTTCTTAAATCTTGGTAGCAAAAGGGTTATAAGGAAAAATATATCACAATTTTCTCAAGACATACAGAACTTTTGGTCATAGCTCTAGGTGACCAAATAAAAGAGGTCTGTAAAGAGAAGTTAGCCTATCCATAATTTTTTTCCTGTACACAATGTTATTTACATCTTAACTCTTTCACCCCTAAGAGTTATTAGCATCTAATTTCTCCTTACAATTTCACCCTTGAATCAAACATGAAGGTGTAGAGAATAAAGGAAATGATCACCAACTTAAGGAATACTTGATTGTTAGAGAAATTCTCCTTGTCGCACCTTAGGAAATGTATAGAGAACACTATGGAACGCAACTTTGTGGCTGTCTACGAAAACGAGTTGATGATGTATCAGTGGTAAACTCCCTTTTTGGAGGCGCTGTAAGACCGCTGTAAATAATCTGAAGGCTTCAAGAAGTTCATCGCACATCCTAACAAAATTGAAAGTCGAGTTGCCCCCCTCCCCCCCTCCCCCCAGTATTCAGAGCATGTTGTTAGAAGGGAGACCCTCTATCACAGCGCCTCAGGGGTGGGCTGAGACTCGCCACAAGCCTATCAACATGAAAATAGACAATTACTGATAATTTTGATGTAAAGTTTGGCTGCTTCACTTTACAAAGAAACAAAGGGTTGAAAGTTCGAGTCGCGGTGAGTACAATATTTGATTATTGTTAAGTTGCTGATGTGTTAGTGTGCTATCTCATCAATTTTACAATACCTATTTTCACGCCTTTATAATCAAAGCTGCTCTTACGTAGACCATTGCTATATTGAAAACGTCGTTTTGATTAAATTCTCTTTATGTTTTAAAATGCTTTTCATATCCTAAGGAAAACAATCTTTTGCGCATTAAAATCGTTATTTCTGCCGTGTTGAGTCAAACTGGTTCATTAAGAGAATATTAACTGTTGACATTCGACTGGTTTCATTTATACCTATTCAGCGTTTGGATAACAATCGAAATGCTTGTACGAACGTAATCCAATACACATGCTTAACTTCTGTACAAAAACGTTTTGAAGAGTTTTTTAAATGTTTATTTCACGAGCGGGGCCAGTTATCTTCGGCGAAAAAAAGGTTCCGATGCATAAAGATGGTAACCGTTGGTGGTGTTCCCAAGGTAAAAGATAGGTAAAATATGGCAATTGGAAATTGAAATATTTTGAATAAAAATTTTCATCAAATAAGCAGAGATTCTTCTACACATTAGACACGTCTAATGTTGTTGCCTTGGCCGCCCTAAATAGCTGCAGGTTTTTCAGGGTTGATGATAATGCAGAGTATATTCACAGTATTGCTTCATTTCAAATTAATTCAAGGCGGGCAAACCTATTTCGTGTGATTAGTTTACTTTGTGCGATTAATTCACGAGGAAGATGGAGAGCGATTGATTTTCAGGTTCATAAGCGACTTTTTTTGCTCTTTGAGAATCGAACTTAAACTTTACACCTGGTATCCGTTATTCTCTCTTTGGTTTAAAAAATCTTTTTTTTCACCTATTAAGTTTTGACGTCTTTCTTACAGTGGCTGTTTGCATTTATCT